TTTTTTTTTTTTTTTGTTTATTAACTGTTCGATTGATTGATATAACTGGATTGCGTCGCTTTATCAGGCTCTGATTGATTGTTTAGGGTTTTAATTTTCAGTATTGACCTTTTGGTTGGGAGTTTTTGTGTTCTGATTTTGATCATCATTTGGTATTTGAGATCTGGGCTTTACTTGTGTTGATTGATTGGGTTGGTTTCGTTTTAAATTTAGGAATTGCGGAGTTTCGTGATCAGTTTACCTGTAGGTATTCATGGCAGTGGTTAGACGTGATGAATTATTACTTGAGAGCAAGGAATTCATAGCTGCCTCGAGCTCGTCGGCTTCGGAGAACAGCAGCAGCGTCGTGGTAAAATCTCCCGGGATAAGCAGTCCATCTAGTACTTCTCCAGCTCATAGGTATATTTTCTTATCTTTTTTGCTATAAGTGTGTGTGTGTGTTGAAATGGATTTGTGTGTTTGCTTATATATTGGGCGATTATATCGTTCTTGTCGTTTGTGTTTTCTGATTCGTATACTATATGATTTTTTAATGTTGTTTGATTATTTTTTCTTGTATTTGTGGTTTTTTACCATAGAGTTGAGCAATCCGTTTTATCTAACATGTATTGTGCCAATACTGTTGCATGAAGCATGATAAAAGCTGATGTATTAGTTACTGTATATATTTTGCTTTGGCAGTGGCTTCAATTTTGAGAAATTTCTAAAATTGTATTGATGATGTATTAACTATGCTTTGGCACTATTTTGGTTTTACAGAAGAACTACAGGCCCAATTAGAAGAGCAAAAGGAGGTTGGACAACGGAGGAGGTAATTTTTCTAAAGAGAAATATTGTATGTATCCAATGCTGGGATAGTGGTTTTTTGTTGTAATCTTGAATTGACCTTAATGGTGCACTAGAGATTAATGCTTATTAAGGAAAAAAAATTCCAAGTCTGTTTATTACATGTATTTCCATTCATTAATTTCTCTGTTACGTAATTGAAAAAGACGTGAATGTAACTAATAGATGCTGAACTTCTATTGATTCAGGATGATACGTTAAAAAAAGCAGTTGCATCTTTTAAAGGGAAGAGTTGGAAGAAAATAGGTATAATTTGTGCAACTTCCTTTGGATTTGTAATGCCGTTATGGTTTTGTGGTCTTTTACTATGATGATATTGATGTTACACTGAATGCAAAGTGCTTATAATGGAAGTTGTTGCGAATTTTTTGTCAAATATATGTTAAATGTTGTGTTTGACCCAGATAGTTATGTTACTGGACCGTAGTAGTGTATAAATGTGGATTGGACTCTCTCTCCCTTTGAGCTAGCTTTTGGGGTTGAGTTCTCCCTGAACTCATTTATCAAAGTCAGACTGATTTGACTCTTTCAGTTTGTTTCACATTAGTAATTAATAGTATGTGATTTCAGAAATAGTAAATGAAAAAGAAAAGTCCAAACTATCACGTCCCAAAATGTTGGTGAATATCTCCAAACAATGTAGTTCAAGCATTCATTTTATCTATTTACCTTCTTACTTTATCCTAGACATGATTCTGTATAATTTGGTGTCTTGCTGAACAATTTATCTTGTACGAACTTTTATATGCATGTAGCTGAGTTCTTTCCGGATAGATCGGAAGTGCAGTGCTTGCATCGATGGCAAAAAGTTCTGAATCCAGAACTTGTTAAAGGTCCCTGGACTCAAGAGGTCGGCAGCTACATTATCGACCTTGTTCAATTTTTGAGATATTCCTGATATGGCTACTTGTGATTCAAAAGTTAGACTGCTTACTTCACTTGCAGGAAGACGACACAATCTCAGAACTGGTTGCAAAATATGGTCCTACAAAATGGTCTGTCATAGCAAGGTCATTGCCCGGTAGAATTGGGAAACAGTGCCGTGAGAGGTAAATATCTCACGTCTAGCTCAGACAATCAAATATCTTGGTGATAAGATATTACAGATTTATTTGCTGTTTCACCATAACTTAGAGGTCAAGTACATGTGACAAATGTTATCTTTGTAGTCAGTTTTGTGAGTTGAGCTTTTGGCATAGTGATTTCTTATTTTACTTATAAATTTGGTTTAGTGAAAAATTAAGCATAAGTTATGAGGATTTTCAAGTCCTCTAGCTAAAGATATGTGAAAATTTATTCGGGAACATACAGTTCATCCATATGGTCCAATACTCTTATGCTTTCCTGTTACAGTAAACGTTAAAAAAATCTTCTGAAATCTTGCTCAACGTTTATGCATTTTATACAGAGTGATTAACAGATGTGAAATTTCTACTTGCTTTTGTCCTGAAAATTTTTAGGTGGCACAATCATTTGAATCCACATATTAAGAAAGATGCTTGGACTTTGGAGGAAGAACTTACTCTGCTTAATGCTCATCAGGTTAATGGAAATAAATGGGCGGAATTGGCTAAGCTTCTACCAGGAAGGTACTCTTGTTTATACATTTCTAATCAGTTCCCAATTTTTTTTAGCCAAATTTGTAATAAGTAAAAACATCTTTTTAGCCACATTTTTTTTTTTTTTTGTTTCCTCAAAAACATCCTTTTTAGCCATTTTTCAACCGGGGATGGTCAGCTTCCGACGTGAAATTGTCATTTCATATTCGAGAACTGTCATGAAATGGTCATTTCTGATGGTGGCATATAAGAATGTTGTCTCATTTGCACATTTTTGGGGTAGTCTGTCCGTCGGGAGCTTTACATTTTCTGAAGCCATGTTTTGCTATTAATTGAGTGATTCTTGAATGTAAAAATGGTTTCGGAAGCAAATGAGATTCATTAAATGGGAAAATATAGTGTTGCTGGGTTGGAATCTATACTTCCTTTTGTTCACGGCTTTAAGAGGAACTGACGATTTTAGCTATAATCATCAAATGCAGGACTGACAATGCAATCAAGAATCACTGGAACAGCTCTCTGAAGAAGAAGCTCGATTTCTATCTTGCTACAGGAAATCTTCCTCCAGTTACTAAGAATGCCTCCATAGAAGCTGCCAAAGATGCCGAAGAAATCAATCGGACCACTTCAGATGGAGAACTACATCTCGACTCGACTAAATCAGATTCAGCCATCTTAGCCTCAACATCACCTACTGCTTCATATAAAATTCAGAATGGGAAGGATAATAACCTGCCAGAAATTGTAACCAAAGATGACGTGTCCGAATTCGAGAGGCGTGAAATAACTGGAAATATCGATGAATATCGTATTACCGGAGCAGCATACACTCCGATACGTGGTGCACTGTACTATGAGCCACCAATTATCGACAATTGCAATCAGCTGGATGCACATCTTGCAAATATATCCTTGATACATTCGAAATCAGATTTTAGCCCCACTAAGTCGCCCATGATTTATTTCACTCCACCCGGCTCGAATTTTAGAAGACCCTGTGCACAAACCCCAGAAGATATACTAAAAATTGCGGCAAAAAGCTTTCCAAATACGCCGTCTATACTGCGGAAGAGAAAGTCCAAAACCGAGCCGAAGGACATATCTAATGGCGAGCATAATAGTGACATCATCAATAGTACCAAGATAACTGGGGGAAAAGATGGTTCAGAGCTTGCTTGTGATGACGACGACAGGTTAAGCTGTCGCAAGTCGTTTAATTCATCTCCTCCGTATAGATTGAGTTTCAGAAGGACTTCGGGACGTAAATCAGTTGAGAAGCAGCTCAATTTTGCGATTAGCTTAGAGCAAGAGGGTAAGGACCAGAATGCAAATTCTGGAGAGTTTGAGGAGGTCAAACAGATGATCCCTCCTGCAACAAAGTTCGTCTACACGCGTCATAGGCGAGGGTAATTATCATTTTCTGTTGGTTCTCTCATGTTTGCTTTATTCGAAATACTTGTGCACTTATATATATGCTAACATAAGTAAGGTAAACAGACATGGTTTTTCTGGTTGAAATACTGAATGATTGGGTTTTTAACGTGATTTATCGTTATAGCTTACCTTCAACTTTTCAAGCATGTTTATCTGAAAATACTAATTTGATGGAGTTAAACAAAAGATGTTGGGGACCAGATTGTTTTGCATCATAAGCTCTTGGATTCCATGAACACCAAATTATGCCGTCTTTTCGTTTTTTCTTAGAAATCTGCATTTCTCGGCAAAAACTCTATCTAATAAATGATGCTGTCCTGCTGCTGTTGCTTGTCATCACAGCTGATTAAACAGAATCTTCATTGGCTTTGCTGCTATTTTGCATAATTTTGAAGCCTTATTATCTTCTCTCTCTTTGATAGTCTACTGTGAGGTTTTTACTCATTTGCTTCATTTTTTGTTGGTTTCTATTTGTTTTACCAGGTAACAGAAGGTGGATATACGCAGAGAAAAATCGTAGAAAAAAAAAAATAAAAAAAAAAAAATCTTCTTGAGAAGTCTACAAAATTTGTTGGATATAAGGCACTGCTCATTCGTAATTTATTGTTATTATTACTAGTATTTGTGGCCCGTGCAAATGCACGGAACTACTAAAAATAAATGAAATAAGGAAACATAAATAGAATAAATAATTGTTATATGCAATTAAAATAGACTACTATATACAATGTTTATATCTGTATATTTTATTTCTCATTACATATCAGTATCTTGTGTCTTTTTATTTGTAACTCGAGAAGCAACAATGTAAAGTTCATAATTAAAAGCCTAAAAGTAGATTTCTATATATATATATATATATATATAGATATTCTCTAGTTTTTTTTATTAATAGAACAAATTGACATAGTATTAACGAATTTTTTTATATAGTTTTTTTAGTTTTTTTGATATACTTTTCCATGAATTTAACGAATTTCTTTCTAAGACCGTTATTTATTTATTTATTTATTTTTTTATGAAATCTAACAATGTCGACCAAAATTTACTGATAAACGAAGTTGAGTAACTAAATTGATTTAATTGGAATGTCTATACTAAATGCGCAAATATATATAGTTGGGGGGCGTAATTTCAAAATTGGTCTATAATTTGACAACTTTTCAAAAAACTACCCCGATATTGACCACTTTCAAACTTTGTTCTATAATTTGACATTTTAATCAAATTTGGTCTTTTTGTAATCAATTTTGGTCCTATAATTGAACATTTTGGTCCTTATTTAATCACATTTTAATCCATGTTCCGGATAAAAATGACCAAATTTGATTGAAATGTCAAATTATAGGACCAAGTTTAAAAGTGGTCAATATCGGGGTGGTTTTTTAGAAAGTGACCAAATTATAGGACCAATTTTGAAATTATGCCATAGTTGGGTTATAAGAAAATTCTCAAATTATTTTATTATCTCAACACATTTTATTATAGTTTGTTTGAATTTATCATGTAATTTAGATCGTATTTTGACACTTGAATATATTATTTCTTACTTGTCTGGTTTTATAATTTATAATGTAATCTTATTTATTAACTATTATTTTTTATACATATACTTACAATTTTTTTATTTGTGTACCATTCTTTTATTTAAATAAGTACCATATTATTATCTAGTATCTTCATATTTTTAGGAAAACTTTAAATATAAATTATTATTTAACATACATTATAAATAATTCACTGTGATTTAACATATCATGTACATGTAAAAAGAAATTTACTTTTATATTAATGGGAAATCAAAACAGACAAAACATTTTAAAATGCCTATCTATAAATGGTAATAACAAATTTAGGTCCACTTTTACTATTAACTTATTATTAAAAAAAAAAATAACGGAGGTTGAAGCACGTTTAATAAATTAACAAAAAATTGAAACTTTCTATAAATAATAATATAAATGAGGGATCCACTAAAGCACTTACTATTTTTAGTAAGTGAGTTGCCTAATTATATAGTAATAGATTATTTTTCGGTTCATCAACATTATTTACCTTCCATATTGTTATAATCTGCACAGTTGATCTTCCCATGGTGGTAAATAAACCGAGTTACAGTTGAAGTACAGTTCATTCTTCAACATACGAAGTATGACATTCATATTTTTGTTAAGTTCGACCGTATTTTTTAACAAATATTCACATTTATATTACGAAATTTCATAACGCTATTTATGTTGTTTTCTATAATGTGATGTTTCATCTTGAAAGTACAAGTATGTATTGAACCTCAGTAGAATTTACATGACAAATTGAATCTCTCGAGGATCAAGCTGAAACTTGCATTCTATTACAGTACTTTACATCTGATGAAGATTTATAGACTCGGTAACGAAAGAGGAGATGATTGTCATTTCACCAAGAAGCTTCCTGCTGGAGACAAAAGAAATAACCACAATTATCAGCAAAAGAAATAACCACAATTATCAGCACATGAGCCGCATTTTAATAGGATTACATCAATGTAGTAATTCGAACAGAGCTATTCAGCTCGGTTCAACTCGTGAAAATTTGGGCCCGGCTCATTTAGGATTTTATGTTTATTAAATCAGCCAAACTGAGCTGAACCGAGCTTTCATGAACTTCAATCAGCCGAGTCTCTTGTTCATTTATTAAAAGAGCCGAGCTGACATAGTTAGGAGTCAAAGCAAACAAAAACATAAGATAATCGATACTGTTAATTAAGAAATTAACTAAAAGATAACTCGGTACGAATCACGCCCAATCTAAGGCCGACACTTGGGGAAGAAACTTCCCGCCCAAGATTAAATCCGACAATTTTATGCAACAACAACTAATCCTATGTATCGAATACAAGTCTATTTGAATAGTCGTAACCCTAACCCTATTTATAAACCTAATCAATATTCTAAGCAAATTGGCCCAAAAGCCAAATTATTGAAATATACTAAATAACAAATGATCTCTAACACGAGCGTGCTCATTTAATTAAATGAGCACGAACTCAAACCTGAGCAACTCAACTCGTCTTGTATAACACCGCTAAATACATGATACTACTAAAAGCACCATAAATGTTATCGATTTATCCCATCCATTCAGCCAAAAAAAGGGGGGAAAAAAAGAAGAAATGGTAACCTTTATGAAGTCTGTACATTCGAAAAACATAGTCTGCCATTGGTATTCTGATCCTTTGTTGAAACCTTATATCATCTTTGAGACGAGAGTCGAATGTTAAATATCCTGAAATGTTGAGTCCAAGAAGCCGATAAAGATGCCTTGTAGAAACTAGAAAGTATTAAGATTCAAAACGCATGTAAAAAACACAAGCTGCAATCGAAATTATTAGCCCGACCTCGATGGAGGAATGTAAGTTCTATATTACATGCCGGACAATCTAAAACAAGAAAGGTGAACCAATTGTGGTCTGGCCAAGCACTTTTGAACTTCTATCGAGCCCATGAGAAGCCACCTAAAACAGAGTCACGTGTTATTACTACTATATTTTTTAATGAAGCATTTGATCATATAAAAATATAAGGGGGCGAAAGAAGAAAAAAATCATAAAATACAAGGGGAAAGGCCAGTAGGATATAGAAGCATATATAACCAGCATACCATATGAGTTAGAGCTGCATATCGTTCTTCATTCAAAAACAATGGTTTTCCCCTATGCATCTCAACATCCTGCATCATGAATGACAAATTAACATACTGAAAACAAATAAGAAAAAAAAAAATCCGATTGACACTCGATTGCAGGAGGAAAGAAGATCGTATATAAGGGAAGTCCTTGTCTAGCATTTAGCCTGCACGACCAAAATAGCAAACGCGAATATTTACGAGTGAAAGCTACTGCACAACGTGTTTAGACGACACTCCGTAGATTTCAATAAATAATCAGTAACAGCAAACCCAGATAAATAAAATTACAAATATTGAATTCTCATTTCTCAGCATCATTTACCTCTTCACCAAATGCATCCAAATACAGCGACGGCCAAGGTGCCTGACGTGCAGATCTCTGAAGCAAGATTGTCGTTCTCTAAACAAAATATTGGAACACCAATAACTAATCTGATGGGATAGAGCATAGAGGATGACTTATAGGCGGTGATGGGAGAAATTTGACTTCGAAAATTTTGGTTTTAGTTAGTAATATTAGAAATGTAATTTCTATGAGATGAAATGTAATTTTGGTGGTAAAATTAGTCAAAACTGTGTAAAATAGTCATTAGAGATTCGACGACTATAATAAAAATGGAGTTCAAATGACAGGTGGTCTAAAAAAGTGATGCAAGTGCGAACTTTGTAAAAGTTCCCCAAAAAGAATAACAATAAAAGAAGACATATAGTTGGGGGGAAAAAAAAGGAAAACTGAAAACAAAAAATGCAACCAATTGCAACCATCCATGTGGTCATATAACATAAATAATGTTACATAATAAACTCAAAATCTAAATACATACCCTGACCAATAAAAATACCCCAATGCCAGCACCACATACCATCGCGTGAGTTTGACAACCACTCCCCCTTAACAACAAAATGAAACAGATTTAAAATCCACATTTTAATTATAGAAGAACAAGTGACTAAGGATTATATGCACAATGGTATATTTTTACAGCAACCTGCAACACGTTTTCCAGTTTGGCGAGCACAGTTTACCGCACAACAAACACACCACAGGCTCTTCCTTCACCACCCCGCAGTCGGGGCAAGATTTTTTAATATACCTGGCACCAGCACAAGTCCACATCAGCAATAAATACAAATAATAAACCAAAAAAAAAAAGCAGCATGATGCAAATACACGAAGCCACAATTCAACCTCTGCAACAAATCCTGGTACAGATTCGGCAAAATCATCAGCTTCAACGGATTTGCAGGACTAAATCTCAAAACACGTCGAGATTTACGAGCTTCAAGAACTTCACGGAAATGACCCAGCCAACCCAAAGCCGCCTGCCGTGATCCCTCATCACCAACAACAAGGTCAAGGGGAGGAATTCCAAAGATACCCTCCAGCTTTTCAATCTCCAGAAGCTCGTCCGCAGAGTCAGCTGAATACTCGCAGTCATTACCTGCAGAGGGTGATGATCCACCCTGGGAGACGAACCAGCCATCACTAAAAGGCACCATGTTAGAGCAGTTTATTAGTTTCCAGAGCAAGGCACATCTCCTCAAGTAAGGGAAAGTTAAGCTGCGAACTGCATTTTTTAAGTCATAAGCAGGATGAACCGAGTGGGCCTCGAAATACTGCACTGCCTCCTGACATTCACCCATAACATGGCATATATCTGTTATAAAGTTATTACATGGTCCCAGCTCAGCTTCAATGCTCTGTCTTTCTTTGCAAAATGCAATTATCGCCTGTCAGACAAGCATAGCATAAGAAGTCATGAACTGAAGCAGGTACAGATCTTCGAAGATTAAATAAACAAAGTTCAAGTTACCTGAATCACTGCAACAAGGTAAAAGATGTGCACTAGAGATAAAAAGGATTGCTTGCAGGATAGTACTGGGGATGGAAGACAGAAGAGTATCCACATGAATGACGAAAATGCATCACAAGCAAGAATAGGTCTAGATGCTTGTCTCCAGAATTGAATATCAGGATACTGCACATCCGGCTCGGCATTTTCCAGTATGTGACGCATATTACCTGGATATCTTGATGGGTTAAACTTGGTTTTAACAGATACTAAATCTCAGATGAAAAACAAATTTGTGAAACAGGCATTAAACAAAAAAATGTGCATAACGTCAAGCAACTTCTACTACACACACAGCAGTTAAGCTCCCATGCGATCAGATGGCTTCATCTTGCTATCATGTGCAATCTCATAATTGAAAATACATGCATTATGCATAAATGAACGGAAGAGTACGGCATCATAATAGTCGAAGGTCTGCAATTGCATTATAACACTTGAAGCAATAAAAAAATAAGTTCAAATAAAATGGGTGAAAGATAAAATTTTCGGTCGAAAGAACCCTACCTCTTGGGCAATTGACTAATTCATCTGGGTAAGAACCACAGCATAAGGAATTGGTAAAGAGCTGAAGGCCACGTAATCTTAATAACAGAGTCTGGGAATTTGATGTCCGCGTGCTTTGAACAGCATCTAAAAGCAAGGATAATATAAAACAGCTAGAATTCTTAAGCTCCTTGTATAAATCACCGATACTGTAATTTGGACTCAATGAGCTCCTTTTCGACCGGGCTGAGATTTCAGCAGATATGAGGGAATACTTCAGCGTGTCCCACAGGATCAACGAATGGCTCATCCTGCCGGATTCTAAAATTTTGTCCTGGCCTGGATAATACATCTCACATAATAAACCAACAATAGGTTCTAGATTTGGCTTCAGTTTCACATTCCGAGCAGGTAAAACTTTCAAACTCTTGGTAGTCCCAGCAATATTTGCAACCCTCTGTAAAATAGAAAAACCATCTCGGATATGAAGGATAAAGTCTCTTTTTGATGAGGTCGAAGGGCCGCAAGCTTGTGAATAATTAATGTTTTGACCAGGCTGTGGCTGAGACACCCTTTTCCTGTCGCCAGGCAAAGCTGGAAGGACAGAATTAGCAAGTCCCCGACACACTGGACAAAGGAACTCACCCTGCCAAAATATGTGAGCATTATTAAAGCCTAAAAATTTTAAGAGCCATGGGGGAGAAGAAAGGAAAAGGCTTTACCTGATCTGGATCCACAATGTGTCCTCCTTCAAAAACAATTCTTCTGATATATCTGCCAGCATAGAAAGAAAACAAAAGAATTTAATGGAAAGACTAGCCTGAAAATAAATGGTACAAAAATGGCTTTGCTTGTACACAATAAAAAAGACCAATAATGAAAAGTTTATAAGGAATGTGCATATCAGCAATATATGGTTGACCTTACTCAACCAACTCTAACAAGGAATTTAGCCCATTATTAATGCCTAAGAAAACATTTCAGTCAATAGTAAAAATACTTCTACCTTTCCCTTAGTGATGATAAATAACGATCCAAACATCCTTGATGCACTGCATGTCCACAAGAAGAAACATAAATCCCATCGGCACCAGAGGGGCCAAAGTCATCAGATCTTGAAGATATCTTGCTGGATTCTGATTTCCTTCTTGAGCGGCCATTCTGCGAAGCCGAGGGGCTATCCACTGGCTTGGGCAAGGACGCAATGTATTTACCAAGCAAAAGAGATTCATCACAATTTATGCTTTCCTTGCTGCTCCCAGAAGTCGAACATTTTTCCTCATGTCTTAAAGAACAGCTGGATTGACATTCCCTGATCAACAAATACATGCTTTCCTCAAATGCCTCCAAAGTGAGTTCTGGTTTGTTATCTGTATCTTTTGACGTGCAAGGGAGTTGGATAGTACTAACAGAAGGGAACCTAGCCTTAATAAATTCCATGATAGCATACAATTCATGAGTCTGCCCTGTAGAAGCAAAATCATTTAGAGCACTCTGAACCACATCTTGCAACTGAGAAGATGAGAGTGTTTCTGAGCCATTTGATGTACTGGTTGGAGATAAATCACTATGTAGGCTTCTGTCACTAGAAACATGCTCTTTACCAGATCGCCTAACTTGCTCCCATGAAGGCGGCCCTTGGTTGACAAAACTAAAAAGTCTGGATTTCTTCAATCCAAAGTAAAACCAGAATCAGAATGTGATTAAAATATATGATGACTAATGTTTGATCTATCGTAAGAGCCTGTATGAAATTTATAATATGCAAAAGCCTTGATAACCTGGAGAAGTACTAAAAATGAAACAGGACTTCTAGACTTGGGATCATGGCACAAGGAACATATGACTTGCGCAGACTCTTGGGCATCATTACTGACATCAAAATCACATTCTTCTTCCTCAGATTTAGCATCCTCCATGTCGTCATCTTGGCTTGAATTAAAGCTTTCCAAAAATTTGGACTGCTGGGCTCGCATCTTTTCCTGTGTATCAAATTCTAAAACCATGAGAACTAAATGTTGTGCAGGCCGTGTTAAACGCCTGCATAAAGAAAGAATATAGTTGCTATTTTAAATCTATGTCAACTTTACTCTTTCACTGGCTACAACGTGAAATGGTTACACCATAATGAAGAACCTAAATGTTCTGTATAACCATAGAAGCGTACAGCACCAACACAGTAAAGTTTACACTTCCTTTTCTTTTGGTCAAGGCAAAAGACAAAAATCAAGAGCAAATCAAAATCACATGCAAACACATTCAACTTATCCACTATGCCTTGTCGATATTAACTAGCAACTACTTTCACTTGCACCATAAATCCATTTGGACAAGGCAACTGAAACATGCAAGAATGCTGTCAATTAATCGATAGTACTAAGCTTGTATGTAGTTAAAAGATATCTCACCAATATTGCTGCTTGTCTTTCCCGAGACTTCTGTTTGCGTTTTTCGCTGTCCAAAGTCAAATCCATGCCCTTAGCATTATCACTTACAACAGAAAATGAAAATTGATTGGCTAACTGAGGTGCCAGTTTCTGCAATTTGTTCGTGCAACCCGGTTCAAGCTCCACCAAGGACTTAATCAAACTAGAAATCAAGGATGATAGATCAAAACTACCAGCTTCAGATATATTTCGGGCAGCTTCTTTCTCATGCATCCTCATCAACAAGACAAGAAGTGACAACAAGCTCTGTTCACCATATTTGATCGTGCTTATATCTTCGCTAGCAAATGCCAATATTGGAATCACATCACCTACATAGCCTAATGGATCACCCGATTCCTTGGATAATCGACACACATCAAGTGCCAGTGCCAACAAATGCAGAGCAGAACAAAGAACACCATCTGGGGCGCGCGACGTGGCGAACTTGTCAGTAAAAGATGCATAAAATAGAACAGCACGTACTATTTGCAGCAGTGTTTTACAAATAGCAATTTTAGCTATTCCCTTAAGAGGGTGATAAATCTTTGTCCATCTAGGAAGTTGAGTAGCCAATGCAGAAACATTACAAAACCGCAAGTATCTTTCTTCTGCTGCTTGCTGGTCCCTTAAGTTCCAGCGAGGATGATACAAATCAAGTTCCTTCCAGTAAGATGACCGCAGCTTATACATACCCTGAGAAAATAGAATTTAGTGCTGCTAACCGTATATATACTTGGACACACACGTCATATCCGCTTAGCAAAACCCAACCTGAGTCATGCCAGATGGATGTGAATATTCCGCAACTCTATCCAATACTTGTTGAAGCTCGTCAAATTTTGAAAGATCGCGAGGAAGGGATTTGACAAGCTGACTACGAGTGGCATCTCCCATTGAGAGCTTGTACACCAGCTCTCTTTGCAAACATTCAGCAGTTGTTAGCCCACAAAACCTTCGTTCTTTCACTATTTGTATTAGAAGAGCAAGCATTTCATTAAGTAGAACTGGTTCGTGCCTGAAATTAGAAAATCACACGTCGATATTCCACATGATTATCAGTTAAGGAGTAACACTAGAAAGCTCAGACCCACAACTCGGGTTAAGATGCATTATAATGGAACTCATATGAAATATCTGTTCAAGGAGTAACATTTGAAAGGTCAGACCCACCTTGGGTTAAGATGCATGATAATGGAACTCATATGCATGAAAATACCTACTATGGCGAAACAGCATTAACTGAAAAGCTAGGCTCTTTAGCCATTGCCTCATTAACTAAAGTCATATACCAGTTTGAGTGGACGACTTGTGATGCTTTTCAACATTATCCATCCTTTTCAAATGGGTTATCTCAAGTATGACAAAACATAGAACGGAAACTATAAAGAAAGCATCGACTCATTGTGAAATTATTCTGTTGAGATCAAGCATATCACACACAGGTTCAGATATTAAATTCCAACACAGCACATCCAAGAGCTTCCCTTAGACCATTGACTAATGTCATGTGTAACACATCGGATATCTTCAATCTCTTTAGTATGGGGCCAATCTAAATAGGAAAATGGTGACTTATCATATTTTGCAGACACCTCAAGTCAGGACGACCTACAGTTGTTAGAAATGTAAGCAACAACTTAAAATAAGCCCAGATTCATGTAATGTTTTGCTAAAAGCAATTGCTGCATAAACAAAATACAGCGAATCATTTTCAAGCCAACCGCATTCCTGCTGATGGCATTGAGGAAATCAGAAATGAGTAGCGGGACATGAGTAATAGCTCTATAGATGAAACATTTTCTTCAACATTTATCCGGTAACAGAGCTCTGACAGTGAACCAAATCAAGCAAACAAACCAATATATATCTTCAGCTGTCTGACTCAACTGTTTTCCAGAAGGATAAGTAGAAGATGAGTTACATACTCACTAGACTGTTCAACGTTGAGTGACAGATAACTGGAAAGCCCAAAACGTTCCAGGATTCTCAGGACAAAAAGATCCGGTGGAGCTAACGCAGCACAACACTGAAGCAAGAAGAGATCAAGCTCTTGACCTTGTTCGGACCTGCATCAAGTAGACGGAAAATTTTGAGACATTACCAAAGAACAGAAAGAAGAACCCCAACCAGATACAACATGGAGCAGCTAGCCTTGTAATGAAATGATTTGTGTCAAGACATGAGTCAAGCTCTCATCAAAATGTTTCCTAAAACTAAATTTTAAAATAATTAAAAATATCAAAAAGTAGAAACACCATAGAAAATAAAATACCCATCCTAAAAACGTCTAAAACTGGAAACTCAAAAAAATAAATAAATATAATCCCGAACGACAGGGAAAAATAAAATGAGGGAAAATATAAGGAACTGATTTTTTTAACTAGTTTTTGCGTTCGTCTTACAGAAGGTCTTCCATCAGGCTAGTTTAAACATACCAGCGAACTGAGCGATACCACTCGCTGAACAAGATGGGAGCATCCCCATTTCGCCGCCAGAGCCCAGCATGAACCTGAGCACAGAAGACCCTTATTTGCAAAGGATGCTCCATCACGAAAGCAGAAAACCCATAAGGATGGCATCCGTCCAAGATGTGGGCAAGAAAATCACCCAATTTTAGGGATAGGTGATCGGCCGAGCAAACACTTGCAACGTACAACGATCCGGATTCACCGTAACATTCTTTTAGTGCCCTTCTCAGAGCCATTGAGAGAAGTCGGTGCAATGGAATGTGCATGGACATTTCCTGTGAACTAACATCATATGCGATATCTGGCCAATCTGATAATTTCAGAGCCCGCAAACCCTCCAGCTCGAACGTGCTCTCTCCGAGAAGTCTATCATCACTACCACCCAAAGACGCTTGACGTATATATTGGCTGCCCTTGGGCCCAATGTCAATACTCAATACACCATGTGGACTGCTGTTAAGAGCTTCGCTCAAAATGGTGGGAGGCTGACTATCCGGTGAACCAGGTGATTTAAATAGTCTAGCTTTCCTGAACTTGGAGAGTGTTCTCTTCAAAGCCAGGAAATTATTACCCGTACCATCACTTGTTTTATGATAAAAGGCACTGAGAAAACCCAGTTTGCTGTCAAGTCTCAACCAATTATCAATAGATCTCAAGCACTCATATATAAACCACCTAGGTAATGATGGCACAGGAAAGCTATCAGTCGCCTTGGCCTCAAGATCTAACGCACCCTTTCCAGTAATGCTACTGATGGAACTTTCTTGAGATAGCCTTCCCACTTTAGCATGTCTTCTATTGTCTTGGTCACCAGAATCGAGCTTATTCGCATTGATGACCGTTTCTTCACAGGGGAGATCACCAGCGGCCACCGAAAATACAGCAGAAACAAGGACAGTGAGAATGTTGAATATGGAGTGACATAGGACAAAAGGCAAATGGATATTCTCATTTTCATCCTCAATGTGACTCCCTGTTTCTCTCTTTAGTGTGTTCATCCCTTGCACAAAAGCCAAGAGTCCCATCCATGATCGAACTAGGTCTCGTCTTTGGTGACATAAATATTTGGGTACTGCAGAATGGCTCAGTACAAATCTAATATCTTCAACTACACGAAGTGTAGTTTCATATAAGTTTGCCCACTTAGAAACCTGCAAAAGGCAGCTCAAGTCAGTCATTTTTTGTGTGAAACAAGAGATTGTAATGATTTACTAAGAACACATCAACACACCCACCCACCCACCCCCACGGTCCTTGTAATTTTGCTTCATACAGTCACGATATGCATCTCATCAGTCATCATCAATCTCATGTTCAGTCAATGATTCATTGTAGATTTAAGTATGCCAATCTCTGTTAGGAGTACGAACCCTTATGTCACCATCACATTATTGAACTTTTGCAATAGTTTGTTAATTTATGTGGACATATGTTTAAAATATATGCTGCTTATTTCATGTAGATCCTAAAATTTATTTTTTTAATATAACTGAAAACTTGAAGCACTTAAGAAAATTTTCTTCTCTAACTGTAAGTATTACACGATTCATTAATACATTAATACCAAAGATCTCTATATATCCATAGTTCATCTGAAGATTCCGAACCAAGGTTGATATCAGTAGACAATATAATCGCTGGCCAAATGCAAGGTCAGATCTCATATCTCCATAAGTAGAAGGCATCACCGGCTGACTAGACCAACAACAAAAATTAAATTTCCACCAAGCAAATAAATTATAAAAAAAAAATGAATTTCCACCACGCAAATAAAAAAGTATCTGACATACTACATTTTGGAAAATACAGACCAGATTATTCAACACAGCTATAAATCACTTCAGATATTACACCACTGCAGAACAAGATTAAACAGTCATTAAATGATTCCAATACCTGCAGTCTCCCATCTTCTCCAGCACAACAAATGAAAATATTTTCCAAGCACTGAAAAAGCACGCCCAGCAGATTCATTCCCTCCACGAGGCGTGGGGTCAGGGTAGGGACAGTCAGAATCTGTACAGAGAATGTCGGCAGCAGCGGGTACCTTTTAAAAGCAGCATCACTGCCCTCACTTACTGCAACATCCACATTCGCCGGGTAATAGAGCACAAATGCTTTGGCAAACTCGTATTTGAATACCGGCTCACTCAACATTTTCAGAAGCAGCTCGTGAAGCTTCCCAACAACACCACTGCTCGCAATAAATCTCTCTGCCCTCAAAAGGACATCCAGCAAACCCGGTGAGGAATACACTCTCTGGGAAATGAAACTGAGCAAACTCTCACTGTGTCTACAAAAGTCCAATAGCATCTCCACCACAGTTGAGGTTAACTCCTCTGCAACCCTTTTGAGTTCTGCACCATGACTAACCATTCTAAGGCTACCCTCGGAAGAAAATTTCGCAGCAAGAAGCTTCCTTTTCCAATAACCGAGCAGTAAATCCAGAACAGGGGCCAAAGATTCGGCATAATGCTCAGGAAGCGGTTGAATCTGCTCCGCACCTTTGTGCTTCGAACAGAACCCCTCGCGTTTCCATGCAGTAATATCCCCACAATCACAGCACCCGCCACCAGTGTATATAACCGAGTAGTCATGGTCCTTGTGGTCCCCATTCGCAAAACAAGGAACACAAATTGCACATGTGGGGTCATGCTCGCAAGTCCGGCAGCGGTACGCAATGTCGTGGTTCCCCCAGACGGCCCCACACACGCCTCGTTCGTCGGAGCTCATTCTGGTTAGGTCCTCAAGCGCCTCTTTGGGGTCGCCTTCAAACATCAACCACTGCAACCAGGTCATGCTCTCCTGGAACACATCTTCATCCACCTCCTCCTCGTTTGAAGGCATGATTGCCGAGAACAGGTATTTTATGCTTAATTTGTTGGCCTTTGCATACTCTACCAAACCAGGCTGTCCTTGGTTTAACTTGTCCCTAGGAATCCCCATCCGTAAAAGCCTCTGTAACATAAAAAATAAATAAAAAAATAACAGCAGCAGCAGCAGCATTAATGGGCAGCAATCCCAATACACGCAAAACATATATATTAAAAAGGAAATATTTTTTTAGGTAATCTGAGAGAATCTACAGTCGATCATTTCAACACGAATCCGCATCCGTAAAAGCCTCTTTAACTTAAAATTTTACATAAGTTGTCCGAATCCGGGTATAATCCAAATTTACGTCGATCATGAAAACAAGCAGCTGCATTCAATAATATGATAAAGTGCAGCAATCTCAAATTCAGACTTCATTGAAGTTCTAATTAATCACCCAATACACGCAAAACATAAATATTAAACATGCAATCTATTTTAGCTAATCTGAGAGAATCTACAGCCGATCACTTCAACGCGAATCCTCATCCGTAAAAGCCTACTTAACTTAAGATTTTACATAAGGACCTAAGGTGACCGAATCCAGGTAATCCAAATTTCCGTCTGTCGGAAAAACAAGCAGCTGCATCAATAATATGATATAGTGCAGCAATCTCAAATTTTGACTTCATTTAAGTTCAAATTAATCACCCAACACATGCAAAACATCAAACATTAAAAACGCAATCCTTGTAAGCTAATCTGTGAGACACTACAGTCGATCATTACGAGCATCAGCAAATCAAGTGCAAACTGGATTAGGCTAAAACCTCAATTGGATAGAATTATCAAACATAATTGGCTTGCCCTGAAATAGATCAACTAAATCAAAATCCAAACCTGAATCATCAAATGGTGGTGCGATTGAGCTGCGTATTCCGGCGACGAGTCAACCTCCATGCCCAGCATTCTCTTCAACCAGCCGACGCAACAACAGTTATCGATTCCAAATCTCTCACTCCCCAGGATTGAAGCTCAGTCTCACTGCAACAAACACACACGCACGAGTACATGTAGGTGACTGAACAAATGCATCAAACTGCAACTATCAGTATAGATATGAATCAAAGCCCTAGAGAAGAATCCCGATCATCACCAAATTCTTACAGCCGCAATCTCTCTCGCTCTCTCAGTCTCTGTATCTCATCACAAGTTCGTTGCCTGTTGGGCGAAAATACCCAATTTTGTTCAATGTCATTCTGTATATGTACGTCTGGCAGAAAATGTTGTACCGTATAGCTCTTCTAGAATCGTCATTAGCTAATATAGTATAATAACTAGTGTAGAGCCCCAGCGCTACACGGTGTGGTGGGCTTATTGAAAACATTTTTTTTTTCTCCAAACATTTATCACTTAGTTATGACAATTTAGATAAATAATATATGTATATGAAAACTCATATATTTTTAAATATTTTTTATATACAATTTTTTTTGTTTGATTTTCTACCAATTCATTTTTTTCACAAATTAAAATTTTCAAACTGTTTATGTTAGGAAACAATAATGAGGAATTGTCTTCGTTGAATTTAAACGGTACTGTAACATCATAAGAAATTATTGTCATACGATGTATCAACACCTTATCACTTTCATGGTCGCCAGTAAGAATTTGACACTCAAGAACATGATTATATACCAAATTCACTATAGAACTAATAAAAGCAATAGCCGCAATATTCGAGCAAAATGATTATGTACGCTAATTACATTGACTTTTTTAATTTTAATTTTAAATGATTTGCCGCTACTTTTTAAGAATATTTAAAAAAGTTACTAATAAAGGTAAAATTAATTTTTTTGGCCGGATTTTAGTTATTATGTTAGGTAAATACAAACTTCGGCCTTTTTATACATATAGATGCTAATTATTGTTTATGAAATGATTTTTTGTCATATACTTTTTACTAGTTTTTAAATTGTTTTTTTAACTCATAACTCATTTATAAATGAATAGAGCTTGCTTGTTTATATACATATTTTTTTTTCCAAAAAAATCCAATCCAAACACAAATATAACTAAACTTAAACTCAACCATCACTATCCTTATTATTATCAATATAATATAGTTAAATAATACCAATCAATTTATCCTTACAAATCAATATCAACTTCAATTCAATATTTATCAACTTACATAATTTTAACTACCTATCAATTTCAATAATTGTCCCATACTTTTATACCAAATAAATTTTAATCATTTTTTAAATATTATTTTAATATAAATTCACAATCCTGCTCAACAAACTTTCTTAAAATTGACTATGATTAACTAAAAAAAAAAATCAATTCAAATCAAAAGATATCAATAAACAAGATGCGGTTTTATTTTAAATGTATGTGTTTTCAAAAAAGTTTTAAAAATATGTAGTAAATGTCTGGTCAAATCAATGGTCTGCCATAGGATATAATCCTTTCAAGCAGTCAATCTTGTCTTATAGTTATCTTATAATCAAAATAATGACAAATAATTAATTCTCCACTAATAAATAATTATTTAAAATAGTAATTAAAGTTGATAATGTAAAAACACGTTAAAATTTACTGATAATTCTAAATATGTGTCATATCTTTAAAATTTATAATTTACTTAAGCCGAAATTCAACGCATAATTTGATTTCTCAATCAAATTAGATTGTATTTCGCATTTCTCAATCAAAATTTATCGTAAAGAAAATTTCGTATAAGAAATCTTCAATTTCGTATAAGAAATCTTGAATTTTATTACACAATTTTTGGTCTAATTTCTTAATCAAATTCAGTTATATTGGGTATTTCGCTATCAAATTTATTGCATAATTTCCAGTATAATTTCTTAATCAAATCCGGTCGTATCTGGCATTTCTCCATCAGATTTTATTGTCAAGATTCCAGCATAATTTCTTAATCAAATTCGGTCGTATGTGGCATTTCTTTATCGTATCTGGCATTTCTCTATCAGATTTTGTCGTCAAGATATAAGAAATCTTGAATTTTTTAATCAAATTTCAATTTCCAATTTTCTAAATCATATTTTCTTCAAATTGGCTTGAATGGATACGTGGATAGTTTATCATGTTTATTGCTAATAAACTGTGATCAGGTCTCTAAATAATTATTTCCTATTATGGATTATTTATTTAATACACAAATATATATCTCCATATATCAATGTAAAGTTTTTTTAAATTTATATGTATTAATCTATCGGTTTGTAATTTTATATGTTAGTTTATAATATTTTGTAATGT